GTTTGGACCCTGAACGTAAAGCCGTAGATCTACGGGACGGACCCTGAAAGGGTTAAATCTGTCTTTTTTTTAGTGTGTTGATAATAAGGGAGACGTCTGTTGGGTTAGTCGGAGCTAGGAACAGTGTGTTCGGGTAGTTGCCAATGAAGTAGTCATTGGGCGGGGTATTTGAGCTTGGGATTTTATTGGCAAGGTTTTTTTTCCTATGCTGGAGAAAAAATCATTGAATCTGTTTGCTGTTTCAGTTGGTGGGAGTTTGGGTTCATCTGGTTTAGTTAGTTCAATTGCGGTATTTCCTGATATCTTTTTTGTTCCTAGAATTTCTGATAGTGTTTTCCAGGTCTTTTTTATATCGCCTTTTAAGTTGGATAATCTGTTCTCATAATACAATTGTTTAGCCCTTCTTATCAGGCTGGTTAGGATTGACAAGTAACGTTTTGTTTGGTCTCTGGTCATGTGACCCATTCTGCACTGTTTTTCGTATAGGTGCTGTATTTATGGATTTGAGGATGCTGGGTGTTAGCCAGGGACTGTTCAGTCTCTTAGCTGCAATCTGTTTAGTTTTTTAGGACAGTGCTTGTTATAGAGGTATTGGGTCTTTTTTAGAAAATTATTAATGCATTCGCTTGAATGTGCGTGGATGTAGTGCGGATGACAAGAAACAGATGATTGCTGATGTTATGAATGAAAAGAAGTTGGATGTCCTGGCCCTAAGCGAAACAAAGCTGAAGGGGTAGGGGAGTTTCGGTGGGGGGAAATAAATGGGATTAAATCTGGAGTATCTGAGTGTTAGAGCTAAGGAAGGGGTAGCAGTAATGTTGAAGGATCAGTTATGGAAGGAGAAAAGAGAATATGAATGTGTAAATTCAAGAATTATGTGGATTAAAGTAAAGGTTGGATGCGAAAAGTGGGTCATAATAAGCATGTATGCACCTGGAGAAGAGAGGAATGTAGAGGTGAGAGAGAGATTTTGGGAGATGTTAAGTGAATGTATAGGAACCTTTGAACCAAGTGAGAGAGTAATTGTGGTAGGGGACCTGAATGCTAAAGTAAGAGAAACTTTTAGAGAGGGTGTGGTAGGTATGTTTGGGGTGCCAGGTGTAAATGATAATGGGAGCCTTTTGATTGAACTTTGTATAGAAAGGGGTTTAGTTATAGGTAATACACATTTTAAGAAAAAGAGCATAAATAAGTATACAAGATATGATGTAGGGCGAAATGACAGTAGTTTGTTGGATAATGTATTAGTAGATAAAAGACTGTTGAGTAGACTTCAGGATGTACATGTTTATAGAGGGACCACAGATAGATCAATTTTTAGTTGTAGCTACACTGAGAGTAAAAGGTAGATGGGGCACAAGGAGAATAGAAGCATCAGGGAAGAGAAAGGTGAAGGTTTATAAACTAAAAGAGGAGCCAGTCAGGGTAAGATATAAACAGCTATTGGAGAATAGATGGGCTAATGAGAGCATAGGCAATGGGGTCGAAGAGGTATGGGGTAGGTTTAAAAATGTAGTGTTAGTGTTCAGCAGAAGTTTGTGGTTACAGGAAAGTGGGTGCGGGAGGGAAGAGGAGCGATTGGTGGAATGATGGTGTAAAGAAAGTAGTAAGGGAGAAAAAGTTAGCATATGAGAGGTTTTTTTACAAAGTAGAAGTGATGCAAGGAGGGAAGAGTATATGGAGAAAAAGAGAGAGTTTAAGAGAGTGGTGAAGCAATGTAAAAAGAGAGCAAATGAGAGAGTGGGTGAGATGTTATCAACAAATTTTGTTGAAAATAAGAAAAAGTTTTGGAGTGAGATTAACAATTTAAGGAAGCCTAGTGAACAAATGGATTTGTCAGTTAAAAACAGGAGAGGAGAGTTATTAAATGGAGAGTTAAAGGTATTGGGAAGATGGAGGGAATATTTTGAGGAATTGTTGAATGTTGATGAAGATAGGGAAGCTGTGATTTCATGTATAGGGCAAGGAGGAATAACATCTTGTAGGAGTGAGGAAGAGCCAGTTGTGAGTGTGGGGAAAGTTCATGAGGCAGTAGGTAAAATGAAAGGGGGTAAGGCAGCCGGGATTGATGGGATAAAGATAGAAATGTTAAAAGCAGGCGGGGATATAGTTATTTAATAAATGTATGGAAGAGGGTAAGGTACCTAGGGATTGGCAGAGAGCATGCATAGTTCCTTTGTATAAAGGCAAAGGGGACAAAAGAGAGTGCAAAAATTATAGGGGGATAAAGTGTATGGTAGTTATTATTGAAAGAATTAAGAGTAAGTTGGAGAATAGGATAGCAGATGAACAAGGAGGCTTTAGGAAAGGTATGGGGTGTGTGGACCAGGTGTTTACAGTGAAACATACAAGTGAACAGTATTTAGATAAGGATAAAGAGGTTTTTGTGGCATTTATGGATTTGGAAAAGGCGTATGACAGGGTGGATAGGGGGGCAGTGTGGCAGATGTTGCAGGTGTATGGTGTAGGAGGTAGGTTACTGAAAGCAGTGAAGAGTTTTTATGAGGATAGCGAGGCTCAAGTTAAGAGTATGTAGGAAAGAGGGAGATTATTTCCCGGTAAAAGTAGGCCTTAGACAAGGATGTGTGATGTCACCGTGGTTGTTTAATGTATTTATAGATGGGGTTGTAAGAGAAGTAAATGTGAGGGTCTTGGCAAGAGGGGTGGAGTTAAAAGATAAAGAATCACACATAAAGTGGGAGTTGTCACAGTTGCTCTTTGCTGATGACACTGTGCTCTTGGCAGATTCTGAGAAGTTGCAGAGGTTGGTGGATGAATTTGGTAGGGTATGCAAAAGAAGAAAATTAAAAGTGAATACAGGAAAGAGTAAGGTTATGAGGATAACAAAAAGATTAGGTGATGAAAGATTGGATATCAGATTGGAGGGAGAGAGTATGGAGGAGGTGAATGTATTCAGATATTTGGGAGTGGACATGTCAGCGGATGGGTCTTTGAAAGATGAGGTGAATCATAGAATTGATGAGGGGAAAAGGGTGAGTGGTGCACTTAGGAGTCTGTGGAGACAAAAACTTTGTCCCTGGAGGCAAAGAGGGGAATGTATGAGAGTATAGTTTTACCAACGCTCTTATATGGGTGTGAAGCATGGGTGATGAATGTTGCAGCGAGAAGAAGGCTGGAGGGAGTGGAGATGTCATGTCTGAGGGCAATGTGTGGTGTGAATATAATGCAGAGAATTCGTAGTTTGGAAGTTAGGAGGAGGTGCGGGATTACCAAAACTGTTGTCCAGAGGGCTGAGGAAGGGTTGTTGAGGTGGTTCGGACATGTAGAGAGAATGGAGCGAAACAGAACGACTTCAAGAGTGTATCAGTCTGTAGTGGAAGGAAGGCGGGGTAGGGGTCAGCCTAGGAAAGGTTGGAGGGAGGGGGTAAAGGAGGTTTTGTGTGCGAGGGGCTTGGACTTCCAGCAGGCATGCATGAGCGTGTTTGATAGGAGTGAATGGAGACAAATGGTTTTTAATACTTGATGTGCTGTTGGAGTGTGAGCAAAGTAACATTTATGAAGGGATTCAGGGAAACCGGCAGGCCGGACTTGAGTCCTGGAGATGGGAAGTACAGTGCCTGCACTCTGAAGGAGGGGTGTTAATGTTGCAGTTTAAAAACTGTAGTATAAAGCACCCTTCTGGCAAGACAATGATGGAGTGAATGATGGTGAAAGTTTTTGTTTTTTCGAGCCACCCTGCCTTGGTGGGAGTTGGCCAGTGTGTTAATAATAAAAAATAACATTCGTCAATTATCTGTATAGATTTCTAGATGTGTGCCAGTCGATGTTTGTCATTGCTGTTGTGAAGTTATTAATGGCTGCCTCATTATGAAGTCTGAAAGTGACTTTAGTAGTGTCTTGGGGTAATTTGCCTAGATTAGTTATGAGGAAAGTAGGATAGTGCTCTGTGGTATTATCTGTGATTATGCCTGACTTTAAAGAGGATATGGTGTTGGTCCAGATGTGGTCTAGTAGGGAAACACTAGTCTCTGTAATTGTTGTAGGTTTTGTTACTGTTGGTATCTACAAGCAGTTACTCAGTGTTTGTGAATTCAGTAACTTGTGGGTCCTGGTCTTGCAGGAGATTTATATTGAAGTCACCTGAGAGTAGTAAGTGATCTTTATTCATGTGTGCATCAGTTATCATACTTCCTAGGTTTTCACTAAAACGGCTAATGTTTAATGGTGCAAAGGTGACATTAAAACAATATCAAAGATGGTTGACACAAACTTGCTACCATTATAGTATGCTCCTCACTTAGCGACAAATTCGTTTAACGATGTGGTCTTAGGAACGGAACTCTTGTCGTGAAGTGAGGAGAGGTTGTATATACAGGAGAAGGCATTTCTAGCCCCTTGCTCCTGGACCTTTTCAGTTATCTATAGTTTAATGTGACCTGAAAATAACTAATTTTACTAAATGGTCACAAAGAACAATAGTAGTAATGGTGGCAGTTCTTCAAAGCCAATAAGAAGCCATGAAGTGCTTCTCATCTGTGAAAAAACTGCTAATTTTCCACTTATTGTGCATAATTTATCAATTAAACTTTATTATAGGTGTGTATATAAACAAAAAATTACTTGTATATATGGTTTGCTATTATCCACGATAGGTCTTGGAACATATTCCTAGCAGATATGGGCAGACTACTGTTTTAAAAGGAAGTTAAGGATTACAGATGGAACATGTTCTTACGATATAGTTTGTTCTGCAAGTTTTATGCAATCTTATGACATGGCTGCCAGAAGGCTATTGTGTGATGCCCCCTTGGATGGGGGGTATTCTGGGGAAGTCTTAACACTAGAATTTCTCTGAAGAATAAGTAGGGATGTTGAGGTGTAAAGGTTTATTGAAATTGTGATTTTATTATTGCATATAAGCCTGCATATACGCATGCACTTATGGAAAAAAAAAACTGCTGAGAATAAGTCATGAACTGTCTTTGGGTCACATCACTGGGAACTGTTGTTAAAAATAATTTGTTCCTTTTTCATTGCAGAGCATCGGAGAGTTTGTGCTAACAGATCCTGGTATGAAAATAAAAGAAAAGGGCAAGATTTATAGCTTAAATGAAGGGTATGCAAATCTCTGGGACCCAGCAGTTGCAGAATATGTCCTAGGAAAGAAGGTATGATTTTCAGCTTATTTTGTATATATATTTACACTTGGTTCATACTATACATGCATGTGTATTCTGTTTTCTTAGTTCTTGTTATTGTATTTATTTTTATCTCCATGGGGAAGTGGAGAAGTCATTCCTCCATAAGCCATGCTTCTCATAAAAGGCAACAAAAATGCTGGGAGCAAGGAGCTAGTAACCCCTTCTCATGTATAAATTGCCATATGTTAAAAGAAGAAAAACTTCTGTTTCTTCTTTTGGATCAAGCTGCCTCATTGGGAGACAGCTGGTGTATTAAAAAAAATTGATTGTCCATGAATAACAGATAAGAGTTGATTGTGAATGGAAAGAAGCTGGATGTTCTGGCTCTAACTAAAACAAATTTGAAGGGGGGTAGATTTTCAGTGGAATGAAATAATTGGTATTAGGTCAGGTGAGTCTGAGAGAATTAGAGCTAAGAAAGGAGTAGCAGTAATGTTGAATGATCAGTTGAGGAAGGAAAAGAGAGAATACTATAAGTGTATCAGTTCATGGATTATGGGAATTAAAATAAGGGTGGTATGCAAAAATTGGGTTATATTAAGTGTTTATGCACCCAGCAAAGAGAGGAGTGTAGAGGAGAGAGATTTTGGGAGATGTTAAGGTGAGAGTTTAGGGAATTTTGAACTGAGTGAGACAGTAATTGTGGGGGACTTGATTTCTCATGGGAGAAATTGTTGTAAAGTGTGTAGTAGGTAAGTTTGGGGGTGCTAGGGGTAAATGATAATGGGGGGGCCTTTAATTAAACACTGTGTAGTAAGAGGTTTGGTAATAGGTGATAAATATGTTAAGAAACAGGATAAATAAGTACAAGAGATATGATATAGTTTGTAATGACAGCAGTTGACTATGTATTAGATAAAAGGTTGATGGGGTAGATTTCTGGATGTGCACATTTTTAGAGGGGCATTATATATCAGATCACTTAGTTGTAGCTACATGGAAAATAAGAGGTAGATGGGGGTATAAGGAGATTATCATGAGTAAGAGAGAAGTGAAAGTTTATAAATTAGAAGAGGAGGAAGCTAGGGTAAGATATAAGGAACTTTTGGGAGAAAGATGAGTTAGAGTATAGGTAATGAGGAAGAAGTCAGAGGTATGGGATAGATTTAAGAATGTAGTGTTAGTGCATAAAAGTTTTCAGATATACAGGAGTGGGTGCAGGGAAAAAAAGGAGTGATTAAAGGAATGATGAGCTAAAGAGGGGTAAGGGAGAAAAAACTAGCATATGAGAAGTTTTTACAAAGTGATATAAGGATGGAGCATATGGAGAGTAAAAGAGATGAAGATAGTGATAAGGGAGTGTAAACGAAGAGCAGATGAGTGGGTGAGATTTTGTCAATAAATTTTGCTAAAATAAAAGTTTTGTAGTGAGACTAATCCATTGAGAAAGCCTAGGGAATGAATGGATTTCATAGTTAAAAACAAAAACAAAGGAGTTATGTGATTTCATGCATTGGGCAGGGAGGTATGACATCTTTTAGGAGTGAGGAAGATCCATATGTGAGTGGGGGAGAGGTGCATGAGGCAGTGGGTAGAATGAAAGGAGAGGAAATAACTGGGATTGATGGGGTCATGACAGAAATGTTAAAAGCAGGCATAGATATAGTTTTGGAGTACAGTGTACCCTCTGTTTTCGTTACCGTCTGATTTTGTGACTTTCGGTTATCACCGACTTTTTTCATCTAAATATAGACCTTGTTTTCGTTAATTCCCTCTGGTTTTGTTGGTTGTACAGAACATGTCCGAGTGCCTGCGCACACACAAAGCCTCCCACACGCGCATTCTGAGTCTGTGGCATTGTTTCTTAGCGAGTGAACATTACCCTGCAAGGCACTAAACATTTCATAATAATCCATTGTTTTTTGCACTTGTTTGTGTGTGACTGCTAAATAAGCCACCATGGGCCCAAAGAACGCTTCTAGTGCCAGCCCTTTGATAAAGAAGGCGAGAAACATGATAGAATTCAAGAAAGAACACACCAGCCAGGATACTTTCCCACACACACCAGCCAGGGTACTTCCCCACACACACCTGTTGTGGAATCTATTGTGGCTTTGGGAAAGTCCATGGGGTTGGATGTGAGTGGCCAGGATGTGGAAGAGTTTGTGGACGACCACAGTGAAGAGCTAACCACTGAAAAGCGGCAAGACCTTCATCTGGAACAGCAACAGACCACAGCTGAGGAAATTGCTTCAGAGGAGGAAGAAGAGAGAGGAATTAAGGACATTTGTGCAAAGTGGAGTGAGGTGCAAACCTTTGTGGAGGAACATCACCCTAACAAAGCTGTTGCAGGTCGTGTCTGCAACATGTTCAATGACAGTGCCTTGTCCCATTTTATGCAAATCTTAGAGATGCCAGAAACAGAGCTCTCTGGAAAAAAATTGTGTGACAAGGGTCCAGTGACTCTCAAGCTGGTCCTAGTGCCAGTAAAAAACAAAGAGGGGAAGTAACCCTGGATAAGGACTTGGTACCTGAAGTCATTATGGAAGGGGATTCCCCTTGCAAATAATAGTAACTTCTCCTCCTTCAGTAATGGTAAGTGTGATGTTAAATGTTCATTTATACATTTTATTAGTGCTTTATATTTATTTCTCATTGTTTTCTGTATGTAAATCTATATTTAATCTCTTAAAAAATGTATTTTTTTTTTGTTAATACTTTTGGGTGTCTGGAACAGATGAATTGGATTTACATTATTTCTTATGGGGAAAATTATTTTAGTTTTTGTGATTTTCGGGTTTGGCCAGACTCTCTGGAACTGATTAATCATGAAAACAGAGGGTCCACCATTGTTGGTGTATGTGTTCAATAAATGTATGAAAGGGGGAAAGGTATCTAGGGGTTAGCAGAGAACACTCGGTTCCCTTTTATAAAGGAAAATGGGATAAAAGTGTGTAAGAATTACAGGGGAATAGTTGAGTATGTAACAGTGTGTGGTAGTTATTATTGAAACAAAGTTAAGACAGAGAGCTGGATCACAGATGAACAAGGTTTTAGGAAAGATCTGTGGGCCATGTGTTTACATTGAAGAATATAAGTGAACAGTATTTAGATAAAGGGGATGCGAGCTGAATACTCTACCACTGAGCTATGCAATGCCTTCTACTATTTGACTGCCTTTTAGCATACATAAGGGGGATAACTAGTAGACTCCTGGCTGTCTTCTAGAAGGCGCTGGACAGGCACCTGAAGTCAGTACCTGATCAGCCGGACTGTGGTTCTTATGTCGGTTTACATGCAGCCAGCAGTAACAGACTGGTTGATCAGACTGTGATCCACCACAAGGCCTGGTCTCAGACCAGGCCATGAGGGCATTGACTCCTGAAACCCTCTCCAGGTATGCCACCTCAGTAGAATTCCAGCATGCTGGTGCAGTGTCTGTTTGGGATGCCATTCTAAAATTGTTGTGCATACTTGTGGCTATAGGCATTATTGGTAGACTGCATACCTGGAGTACACCTGGAGAGGGTTCCAGGAATAAATGCCCCCTTAGCTTTGTCTGTGACCAGGCCTTGTGGTGCATCGGGGTCCAATCAACCAGGCTGTTACTGCTGGCTGCACGTAAACAGATGTATGAACCACAGCCTGGCTGATCAGGTACTGACTTTAGGTGTCTGTCCAGCACTTTCTTGAAGACAGCCAGGGGTCTATTGGTAATCCCTCTTATGTGTGCTGGGAGGCAGTTGGACACTCTTGGGCCCCCTGATACTTATTGTGCCGTTTCTTAGTGTACTCGTGGCACCCCAGCTTTTTGTTGGGGGATGTTGCATCTCCTGCCAAGTCTTTTGCTTTCATAGAGAGTGATTTTTGTGTGCTAATTTGGTACTAATCCCTCTAGGATTTTCCAGGTGTATATTATCATGTATCTTTCTTGCCTGTGTTTCAGGGAATACAAATCAAGGACTTCAACTGTTCCCAGTAATTTAGGTGCTTTATTGTACTTGTGTGCCGTGAAGGTTCTCTGTATATTCTCCAGGTCAGAAATTTTGCCTGCCTTGAAGGGGGCAGTTAGTGTACAGCAGTATTCCAGCCAAGAGAGAACAAGCGATTTGAAGAGAATAATCATGGGCTTGGCATCCCTAGTTTGGAAAGTTCTCATTATCCATCCTATCATTTTTCTAGCAGATGTGGTAGATAATGTTGTGTTCTTTTGAAAGTGAGATCCTTTAACACTATAACTCCCAGGACCTTCACATTAGTTTTTCACTCTATTGTGTAGTTGGAATTTGTTTTATACTCTGATAATTTTAATTTCCTTGAGTTTTCCACATCAGAGTACGTAATTGTAATTTCTCTTCATTAAACTTCATATTGTTTTCTGTGGCCCATGTAAAGTTTTGGTTGATGTCCACTTAGTCTTGGAGTGTCTTCGATGGAGGACACAGTCATGCATTTTCAGGTGTCATCTGCAAAGGAAAATGTGGTGGTTTGGCTTACATGGCTGTCAATTATGAGGAACAGGATGGAAGCGAGTATACCTGGAGTACCTGGAGAGGGTTTCGGGGGTCAACACCCGTATGGCCCAGTCTCTGACCAGGCTTCATGGTGGATCTCTGCCTGATCAACCAGGCTGTTGCTGTTGGCCGCATGCAACCCAATGTACGAACCACAGCCCGGCTGCTCAGATACTGACTTTAGGTGCCTGTCCAGCACCTTCTTGAAGACGTATGCTGTTAGGCAGTTGAACAGTCTTGGGCCTCTGACACTTACTGTGTTCTCTTATCATGCTAGTGGCACCCCTGCTTTTCATTGTGGGGATGTTGCATCATCTGCTGAGTGTTTTGCTTTCATAGGGAGTGATTTTCGTGTGCAAGTTTGGTACTATTTCCCCTAGGATTTTTGAAGTGTGTGTAATTGTGTATCTCTCACCTGCATTCTAGGGAATACAGGATGAGGACCTTCAAGCATTCCCAGTAATTTAGGTGTTTTATCGCAGTTTTATTGCAGACACTGCAAGGCTCCAGGCGGACATCAACCAAATCTTTCAATGGGCTGCAGAAAACAATATGAAGTTCAACGATGAGAAATTTCAATTACTCAGATATGGTAAACACAAGGAAATTAAAACTTCATCAGAGTACAAAACAAATTCCGGCCACAAAATAGAGCGAAAAACTGTCAAAGACCTGGGAGTGATCATGTCGGAGGATCTCGCCTTCAAAGACCATAACATTGTATCAATCGCAGCTGCTAGAAAAATGACAGGATGGATAATGAGAACCTTCAAAACTAGGGATGCCAAGCCCATGATGACTCTCTTCAGGTCACTTGTTCTATCTAGGCTGGAATATTGCTGCACACTAACAGCAACTTTCAAGGCAGGTGAAATTGCTGACCTAGAAAATGTACAGAGAACCTTCATGGCACGCATAACGGAGATAAAACACCTTAATTACTGGGAGCGCTAGAAGTTCCTGAACCTGTATTCCCTGGAATGCAGGTGGGAGAGATACATTATTATATACACCTGGAAAATCCTAGAGGAACTAGTACCGAACTTGCACACGAAAATCACTCACAACGAAAGCAAAAAACTTGGCAGACAATGCAACATCCCCCCAGTGAAAAGCAGGGGGTGTCACTAGCACATTGAGACAATACAATAAGTGTCAGGGGCCTGAGCCTGTTCAACTGCCTCCCAGCATACATAAGGGGGATTACCAATAGACCCCTGGCAGTCTTCAAGCTGGCACTGGACAAACACCTAAAGTCGGTACCTGACCAGCCGGGCTGTGGCTCGTACGTTGGATTGCATGCAGCCAGCAGTAACAGCCTGGTTGATCAGGCTCTGATCCACCAGGAGGCCAGGTCACAGACCGGGCCATGGGGGCATTGACCCCCGGAACTCTCTCCAGGTAAACGTGTGCCATGAAGGTTCTCTGTACATTTTCTAGGTCAGCAGTTGTGGAACAGAGCTTTTCACTGTAGCTGCTTCAGACTTTACTCTGCATACTATTACTCTTTATGTTCTATTTGTTAGGAAGTTATAGATCCATCTACCAACTTTTCGTGCATTTTGGGCACCATGATCACACTTGTCAAAGACCTTCAGAGAGTCTGTGTATACTACATCTGCATTTTGTTTATCCTCTAGTGCATCCAGGACCTTGTCATAGTGGTCCAGTAGTTGGGACAGGCAGGAGCGACCTGCTTTAAACCCATGTTGCCCTGGGTTGTGTAACTGATAGGTATCTAGGTGGGTGGCAATCTTGCTTCTTAGAACCCTTTCAAAGATTTTTATGTGAGATGTTAGCACTATCAGTCTATAGTTCTTTGCAATTGCTTTACTGCCACCTTTATGGAATGGGGCTATGTCTGTTGTTTTTAGTGACTGTGGAATGACCCATGACCATACTCTCTCCATAGAATGCTGAAGACACGTGATGGGCTTCTTGCAGTTTTTGATGAACACAGAGCTCCATGAATCTGGGCAGAGTGCATGGCCATGCAACTTATTGCCTTTTTGAAGTCCTGTGGTGTTAGGATAATATCAAAAATTTTTTAATTAATCTAATTTTGAGGTTTGGTCATAAAAATTTCAGACAAATTGCATTTACTTTGCACTTTAGGGGCCATGAAGACATGGTAGCATAAAAGATGGCATAATACAATCACAAATGCAGTAATGAAGAGTACATAATCTAGGCTTGGTGCAGGCAACACACATGGTAGCTTCAAGCTGAAGAGGAAAAAAATTAAACTGTAGTACAAATGCTGCTATTGGTCGAGATGCTACTATAGACACATTCATTCCCATTGCTAATTGGCTGCTAAGCCACCCCTACATACTTCTCATGGCTCAGATGCTGCCCAAGAGGGTAGGTACCACATCACTGGTTGCCTGTGGCCCACCTCACACATGCTGACCATCATATGCATATCATATCTCAAATTTTTCATTGCAACTCAAAGCTTATTGTAACTCAAGGGGCCACTGCATGCATATTAATTTTTTAAATTTTAAAGTGTTAACATTTATTTTTAAAAATGTACATTTATCTTTATTCTTAAGATAAAAAATGTGCATTTCCCTTTTAATAACTTGGTTAAAAATTTATCTACAATGATGCATGTATGTATTTTATCTCTTAATAAATATTTGCATCTATCATAAATCAGAATAAATGTATGTTTTTCTTATTGATCAGTTTCTGAACTTTGCCAGTGATCCCATAACTTGGGTAAGATATCTTTGCAGTACGATGTATGAAGTGAATGATAATTAGTATTGTTTATTTTTAGGCTAAGAAAGCAGGAGCCAGATATATCGGCTCAATGGTTGCTGATGTTCACCGTACTATTAAGTATGGTGGGATCTTCATGTACCCTGCTACAGCAGATTCCCCCAAAGGAAAGGTAAGATATGATATTGCCAGACTGAATAGCTTTCACAAACCTTTAATTAGATCACTAATTACAAGATTTGTTTTACAAGCCATGTTCATATTGTAATAGATTTCAAGGTCCATTTCTTACTCCTCTCTTACTCAGTTGCCTGCAATTATCAGGAACCAACCCTAATAATTTTTAACACATAAATCCTTACAATATTTTTGTTACATGTAGGATATTAGTACAGTATCCAGAGCAATGAGTGCCTGACTTATATTGTACATACTGTACTATTAACCCTTGATTGATTGATTAAATGGTCCAAATGTATATATAAGTTCTCTCCCGTAGCGCCCCAAATTTTTTGAGAAAAAAAAAAAACTTTTTTAATAGGAAATAAGAGCATATGGTACCCAGGCGTCCTCAATATTTTCATGTGGCGCACAGTGAGTGCGGACACCCATTATCTCATGTCTAGGCGACTCAGGCTTGTCATGCCAATGTTGAATGACAAACGAAACGTATATATATGTTTGGGGCACTACGCGAGAAAATGTATATATACGTTTGGACCATTTAAGGGTTAATACAGATGCCTTCTTGAGTGTTCTAGCTCTGAATCTGGACTTTAGATAATCTTCTCAGTTTGTATAGCAGTGATCATTTCCCCTTCCTGCTGCAGTGAAAGCATGAGGCAGACTGACAATTCTAAGGTTTGTCCACAAGCTGCAGATTTCCTGGGCAATTTCAGTGATCTGTAGTTTGCTTATGACCATTTCAAGTCATCCTGGAGATGATAGGGTTTAGCATTTCTTTTGCAGGTGGCTCAAGGTCTTGTCCACCAATCCCTTGGTAGGAACAGTGACTGTTAACCCTATCAGGGTCAAGAGGCCCTCTCCTAAACTTCTCAGGGTCGAAAATTTTTCCAAAAAAATAAATAATTTTTTCTTATGAAATGATAGAGAATCTTTTCCCCATCATAATGACACCAAAAGTATGAAATTTGATGAAAAACTTACGGAATTATGCTCTCACAAAGTTAGCAGTCTCGATAATGTTTATCCTCACTTTGAGCCCTATTTTCGGTCAATTCTAACGTACCATTCGACAGAAATCATAGCTATTTCATTAGAACTCCATTTGTTCTATCGAATGACTACAAGAAACCAGCCAATTACCGATTTGAACTATCCAATAAAGTGGTCAGAAATTGGCAATTTTGCCTATTTCACACAAATTTCAAAAGATGCCAATTTCAAAATAGGGTCCAGAATAAACAAGACAGACATTCCTAGAACTAAAATAACATTTTTGTTCATTTGTCACGTCCCCAGGCCCCTCTCACATTTCTTTTGCTTTCCACTTTGAACTTTTATTCTCACAAAAAAACAGAAGATATACTGTTATGCAGACTACTGCATTAGTGTAGAAATGGTATAAATAATATCAGCGCACTTGTGAAAGAATATTAGACTCTCCAGTTGACATGTATTGGATGTGTGGCATTATTTGTTTACTTTTGAACATTGGCAAAAATTGAACATTTCTGCTACTTTGAGCTCAATTTCAAGGTACTTTTCATTGTGAAACCAATCAAAATCATCTCAATTTCTGTAAGATGTCTTCCATTCTATAAAATGAGACCAAGAAAACTAGAATAAAACCATAAATTCCATACGAAAATATACTGCAAAATCGGTTTTAAACAAAAAAACGGTCGGAGTTTTTTTTTTTTTCTCTCATTATGCACTGTGTGCTGCAGGATTTTTTTTATACTGTGCACACTGACCATGCAGACCCATTCTTTCATATGTAGGCCTACCAGCTTTCTCTCGCTAGAATTTACACGTACTAGTACGACACCAACCCTGGCATGCAAGTCGTACTATTACACCAACCCTGCAAAGGTTAAGCAGCACCAGATTTTGTGTACAAGTGTACAGCTGTCTAAAGGACCATTATTTGCTGTTGAATAAGCTGATCTACCAGTAGTTATTGACCGTCAGTGTTCAGAAATTCTTTGTATGTCCTGCATCCATTACATAAAGTGGTCAACTACAACATGCTCTAGATGGGTTTGTTTTAAAATGTCTTGTAGGTCCAGGAGGCCCTCCACATTTGCAAGGGTTAGGGGATCAAGAACCTCATGAATCTTAAATTTGCGAATGTTTGGCGCACAAATATGATGTAGGGAAATAGTATAATAATAGCATTTACTTAACCTAACAATATTGCTTCCTTAAACTATTGAACCACGAACAATCATAAAACACGTGAAAACATCGTAAAATGTTGTATGTACATGTTATGGTTTAACCCGTAAACGGTCCAGGTAAGATAAGAGATAAGATTTCGTTCGGATTTTTAACCCCGGAGGGTTAGCCACCCAGGATAACCCAAGAAAGTCAGTGCGTCATCGAGGACTGTCTA